ATAATTCATATAAATTCATTAAATGAAATAGTATTGAATTCAATGTAAATTATGTAGTTCACAAACAGTAACATTCTGAAATTGTACAGGACAAAAATTGAACAACATTCTATCAATATTACGTAGTCGTAACGGCGTATGAGTTAAATGAATCAAAGCTGTTGTTTTAATTAGTAATGTAGTTGAATGGAAGATTTCTTTTCTAATAATTAGTTATTGTTCAACAATCCTATTGCTTTCAATACTTGTATATGGCAAGATGCCAGCATAATAGTCTGCAGGTAAATAATATTACTCACTAGTTAAAAGAATAACTTATTAATTATACTTGAATAAATATCATTCTGATTAAACAGAAGTGAATTGAAAAGGAGAAAATAATTATTTAAATTAAGGAGGCAAGAAACATTCTTAAGAAAACACTAACGTATTCGAGGACAGGGAAATTATTTAGTCGTCAAACAAAATGTTTAAGATGCAAGTGAAATAAGTAAATTATAAAAGTTTTTTGTAAGATAAATAAAGGATTTAAAAGAATTAATTTTAAGTTCTCTTGTATTTGTGTTTTGGGATTCTAATGTTATTATTCCAATCAGATTCTATGACACCATAGAATGTGATTGAAGGAAGCTAGTGAATTGCCTGCCATAATCAGCATCAGAATGCCTTGGTTACCAATGGAATCAAAGGTCTGGAAGACTGAAAATATGAAGCAAGGAAGTCAAAGAGACCATTGAGCTGAAGAAAGATGAGTATCTGAGATATTTGAATACAAAGAAACCAGAAGACTACATAGAATATAAATGATTTAGAGCTAAATCACTCTTGTTATCCAGAAAAACACACAAGGAAAGGTGGGAGATATTCTACAAAAGGTTAGAGTATGATATCACTGGTGCTCAAAGAATTGGTTTTAAAATTTTTTTAAATAGGTCCAATATTGAACAAGGTAATGCATGTGTGTTTTATCTCAAAAACGTGTTGAACATTATAGGAAACTTTTATTCTCAGCCAATGTTTGGGAAGTGGAGACAGAAAATGCTAAAAAATGAAGAGATGGAGGAGTTCGAATTAGTGCTGCAGAAAAGCAAAAGTAGGAAATCTGTGGGACTGGATGATGTGCCTCTGGAATTATGGAAATATGCATATCAGTTAAAAAGGTTATTAAAATTCTTTAACAATCTTTGGACTGAAAGCAAAGTACCTGCAGATTGGAACAGAGCCTTAATAATCTATATACATAAAAGGGGATCAAAAGAAGACTGTGATAATTATCATGGACATCAGCTTCAAAATTGAATACCACAATATTGAAATACAAACTTAACAAGGAAGTGGAGGGCATTACGCAGGAAAAGGTTAATGGGTTCGGGAAAGGAAGAAGTGGCAGTGATGCAATTTTCACCCTGAAACAGATGCAGAGAATTCAATCTGCCTATATACTTGCTTTTTCCCGGATTATTGCAAAGCTTATGAGAGTTTGGACAGATCAAAATTGTGGTGTGTTTTAGAGAGCTATGACATTCCAGGAAACTTGAGAAATGCAATTAAAAGCATGTACCTAAATACCAAAATTTGTATTACGGTGAATGATTGTAAAACATCCGATCTAAAAGTCAGCCAAGGACTAAGACAAGGGTGTGGTTTGTCCCCAACCCTCTTCAACATTTATGTGAACAAAATTATGGATCTATGGATTACCACGAATCCAAGAGGTACTCTAATAAAGAGAAATAAACGAATCACACATCTGACTAATGCAGATAATCAGGTTCTTTAGACTTCATCGGAAGACGATATCCAAAGAAACATAACATGCCTTGACCGAGTGCTACAGAGCTATAATATAAAAATATCTAGTCAAAAAACTGAGGCTGCAGCATACCAAGGTAAATACGTGAGAAGAATGAAAATTGTTATCAATAACCAAATTATTGAACAAGTATCGAACTTCACTTACCTTGGCTGCAGAATATCAAATACATCAACCCCGAAATGCAAGATAATGTAAGTAAATACAATAAGTTGAATGGCTTTATGAAGAGGCATTTTAAAAACAGTATGTTGAGAATTCACAGTGATATCTTGACCCACACTCTGCTTCACAAATGAAATGTGGATACTAAGGGAAAAAAAGGTTATAAATGCATTTCTGAAAGTGTTATATTCATAAACTTACTGAATTGAATTCATAACTTTTTCTCATGTGTCAGATTTCATTTTTAACTAGGGTCTTTCTGCAATTGTTGCGCTCTTGGTCATTTATTAAAATATTAAAAAAATAGACACCAGCAGTCAAACACTGGTAATTCGAAAACAATTTGTTCAGCAATATGAGTCCACTAACTACCATTGCAGTCGCACAATTCTGGAGAATGTATGATATAACAAAATATTTTGTGCAAGCTTAACACAAAGTTCCCACTAAGTCCTTACAGAGGCACCAAATAATAAAGCAAATACATCAAAGATGATGTACAAAGCAACGTTACTAAGCATTGATTCTGTATTTAACAAGGACTAGCTAAGCTATGGTTTAGCGGCCATTATGGGTAAAAATTTAATCCATCCTTATTCTGAACTTTGGTTGGAAGTAACTATTTCCAGAATAATTGTGTTATAACAAAGTTACACCAAGCTTCTATTAAGGCTGATAATTCAATAACATAGTATAGAATGTATACAATTCAAGTATATAGAGAACGTATCAAGAATATAAAGAAAAGTCTAATGACATCAATTCTAATTTCTTAGTATGAATATAAGAGGGACTGTTATGACTCAATTAACTTTTTTCTTAGCTCTATTGTCTGACTTTTGATCCCTTGGTTTGCCTTGGTTCTCACCTGAACTAAAAAAATAAATATTAATTTTTATTTTTTATTTTATTTATTAACGAGATAATCTTATACAATAAAAATTAATGCAGAACAAATTACTATTATTAAAAATCAATAAATGAGTTTCACAGTAATAACAAAGTAATAGATAAATAAAATTTGCAGTAAGGAATAAATAATTTAAAGCGTAGTGAAGGGGATCTGTAAATCCAAAATTAATTTCGGAGACTTTTTGAATTTGACATTGTTATTATCAAAGAAGTCAATATCATTGCATAATTGAATGGCCTCATGTGAATACATCATTGCACTTATACTTTGTTCTATTGATATATTAAAAGGCTGTTGAAATCTGTGTTTATGTTGCAGATTATAAAGTCGCACTTCAAATAAAATGTTTGAACAGTTCATATGCCCACATATAATGGAGGGTAAAAGACAAAGTAATGGTAGAGTCTTCTGGCTAATAGAGTAGGGATGTTTATTTGTGCCTAGATATTATTGTAGTTATGATCTAGTCTTGGAAGAGGATTCTTGTCCATGAATGCCAAATGTCTCAGAAATCTGTTCTGGGTTTTTTCGATCATTGTGGAGGAAGGCTTGGTGTAGGGTAGACTACCACTGCATATTCCAAAATAGGCCTCACAAGTGCAAAAAATTGTTACTGTAGATGTTATGAAAATTTTTGGTGTGCCATATCAGGAAACCTAACGTTTTCGTGGCTTTGTTACATATCAATTAAACTTGCAGATTGAAATCCAAACAAGCATCGAAGGTCAAACCAAGATTCACAAAATTATCCATGGATTTCAGAGACAGCTGTCAATAGTATATAAATTGCGAAAGAGTTTCTCTTTTCTGGTGAAGTTTACAACATAGCATTTGTTGATATTCAGCACTATAACATTCTCCAATTACCAATCATAAAGTGATATGATGTCCACTTGCAGGTTAAGGGCATTAGTTTCACTTCGGATTTCACCAAACAATTTAGTGTCTTCAGCAAAAAGCAAAACTTGACTGTGTTCGAAAAATTGAGGTAGATCATTGAGAAAGATAAGAAAGGGCCAAGATGAGAACCTTGTGGAACACCTGAGGGAACATGGAGTTACTATATCCATTTCTCACATTGCTGAAGGCTGAATAGTTTTCTCTCAATGTCTGCATGCATTGGAAATAAGTAATGTCAACTAGTGACATGAGCAGCAAAAATAATGCTGTACAAATCCACACAAAATAGTTTTCCAAAAAGTAGCATGAACACTGCCCAAGAACAACAAATAAAAAAATCCCTCTTACAACACTGCAACAAATTAAATATTGTAACAAAAACACTCTTCTCAACTGCAATAACATAGTGTAGAATACAGGTATTCAGAATAACAGTTTTTTATGTACCAAAAATATCAAAGATGTTGCTGTTCCATAACGCAATATGTGAATAGTGAACATCGGGCAGAGTGTTGCTGTCACATATCAGCAGTATTATAAGCAATGTTACATTGAGTATGGGAATTCAGGAGGTACACACAGTATAGGTAGAGTAACACAATTAAATATTTTGATTTTTCATTCAAAATCGAAGTTGTACAAAACCATGGACATCTCTAACATGGGTGTAAGATGCTTAGTTTACTTTCAATTTCTCCATGCATTGCGATCAGTAATATACAGATGATTTTGTACTTTCCCTGAGTTGGTGGGTGAAATGAAACCATAGATTCCCCTAGTCATGTGAGGGGTATCTTAGTGTCATTTCAGTCTGTGCTCATTGGAAACTAGTAATACAGAGGTTTTTGGATTTTTATTGAGATCTAGGTATCTCACAAAACTGTGGACACCTCTTACACATCTGGAGGCTGCTTAGTTTGCTTGAAATTTTTGTACACGTTGGAGATATATAATTTAGGTAATTACTAATATTGAACAATGTTCTCCCGAAAATTGATACTTATGTAAGTTTATAATCAATGAAATATATTGATTTGATGATAATGATTGCAGCTAGCTACAGGGGCCACATGTGTATGTGTTAACAACATTCTGGTTTTTTGAAATTTTGATTGGAAATACATGCAGAATTTCAGCTCATGTAGAATTTTAATGACTTGAGACTTTGTGTTACTGTGGTTTTTCATCTTGTTAATTTGTCTTTAATAGCCCCAGGACATGGTAGGTGTCATATTGCCAATGGGTAGCAAAGGGAAGACTATCAAAGACTTCAAATGAAGTGTGTCATACTGGAGATGTATTTGATGTGAAGAGGGGAGCAAATTCCTCAACTTCACCTCTTCTACATGCAATGTCTTACGTAGAATTTATGTTTTAGATTTGTGTTGTAAATATTTAAATATTTATCTCATGACATGTAGAAAAATTATTAATTTCACAGAAATTGTGAATATATTAATACCTGAAAAGAATTAATCAAAATCTTTGATAGATAAAAAGTTTTGAATCCATAATATGTTATTTATATATCCTGAATATGTTATTTTATTTTTGACCAACTTAGTACAGACATACAATGTAGGCTTTCACTGCCGGTTTCCACATAATTAGATATTTCCGGGTTTGTAGGTTGTAGTCCAACGGAGTCTGGTCCATACGTTTCACCTGTAACTGTGGTTGCTGGCGGGGCAAAGTGTTCTTCTTGGCAGTACTGTGTTGACTGACTTTGAAGTTAGCAACGCCACTGCTGATGCCTGCCACAGTTGCAGACAAAACGTATTGACTAGTCTCTGTTGGATAACGGCCTACAAACCCATAAACATCTAATTATGTTAGTACAGACAGGCAGCAACTAATTATTGTATGACATTACTATGTTTTGGTTATCTTTATTCTTCTGATGATACTGACCAAAAGTATTCCAAAATATTCATATTTTCATGCCACAAGTAACTCAGAATACATCTGTGAAAAATTTAGCCATTATAATTTCAAATGTTTTAATTTGTGGATAGAGCAAGGAGTAAATGAGTGTCCAAAATATCAATCTTATAGTGTAAAATCAAAATCAATTGTCACGTTTGTCACGTTTTTAGGAATAGTTTTTTGTAGGGTTAATAAAAATCATGAATTGAAAAAATTGTTTATTTTTTAAAATTACAAAGTATTTTTATTTAAATTCGATTTAAATTTAAATATTTACATTAGGCAACATTTTTAGATATTTGAAAAAAAAACACAAAAAATTGAAGAACAATGAGGCTTCCTCACATTGACCTAGTTCTGAGATTTTAAGGTTTTTACTAGAACTTTTATAAAATAACTTAAAAATCATGGATCATTAAAATCGTCCTGGAATACTTTTTTATACACATCAAAGCAACTTTCTGCAACTAATGAGAAATAATAGCGATATCCTTTCAAATTTTTGGAGATTTACAACAAATCTTCTTGTTTCAATGACACAATATTTTTGTTGCAAAATGATCTTATCAATTTCACAAATCATAGACTTGTTGAATTATTTTTTCAAAATTTTTTTGAAGAGACTTTGAATTTTTTTGCAAAATGTTTTACATGAATAGAGGAAAAGATGCTTAATGAAATGTTGCAGGTTACAGTTTGTTAAACTTTGTAAATTTTTGAAAATTGCAGAAGTTCAAATTTTTTCAGCAACTTCCTACAACTACAATATTGAAAATGGTGCTTTTTGTCTTAGTGAAATCTGCCCTTCCAAGTAGATCTTAAAATAAGTTACAGTACCAGCAGTGTATAAGTGACTCTGACAGTTTGATGCACTGTTGCCGCTCATTATTAGGCACATGGTACCACCTTCTTGAGAAATAAATGAAATCTCAAAACATTAATACTTGTCAACAGGTGGTAACACTCATCTAACCCTCTGCATACCAGGCTCTAAAGGTAACACTGAATTCCAAGTGGGGTGCACATGTACCCCGCTCAAATATTATGCGAGATTGCTTTAAAATACAAAGTAAGTAACTAAGTAATGAACGTTTTGGTTATTTTGAGCTGTTAATATATAATGTAAGACAAATTTAATAGAATTTAGTAACTTTTTTTGTATGTTTCTCTTTTATTACACCAATACACATCATCAAAATACTTCTTTCAATGTTATTCGTGTTTTAAGCAAGTGACGCATATTTGTATTGTTTTTGTATCTGTATTTATTACAATGACTAATACTTCCTGCATCTTGTTATACTCTTTCTATCTCTGTTTCCAATAATTAACAAGGAATAAAAATTGGTGATGCAGAATACCAAGCGGGCAGTGCTTGTTTTAAGTAGAAAACGTAAAACACCTTAAAACTATTGCATACTTTAAGTTGTAATTGTTAACTGAAGTATTTCAGACAATGTAACAAAATTTCAATATCCCAAGACAAGCAAAAAACACAAGTAAAGTGAGATTTGGGTAGATGTGTATCCCACTTGATATGTGAAGTGTTAATATCACGTTCATAACCTTTGCCACAACTGAACCTTATCGCCTCCCAAACCCATTTAAAACTTAATGTTTCAGCTCAAATGGCTGTGTTTTCTATTGCTATTATCAGGCCAATCTGCAGTGCGGTCACAACTAGAGGTAACTACCGTGTTCCTTTTCCTTGCACCTTTCCAACCTCCAATTATTCGTGTAAACGATATGCAGTTTCACAAGCCTTGCTGTTTTACACAGCCTCGGATCAATGCACTGAAACACTTGGAAGTCACACCAATTGGCCTGACGTGAATTGCTCGAGGCACATTTTATTCACACCAATACTGCTGATGATAGGGATATGCATGTTTCTCGAGTTACTTCGTATGAGTCAGATGAGCGGCAACTTTGAACCCTGGCTATGAGTTAGTAAATAAATCCTTGTAAGCTGGTTACTTCAAAGCAGTTCTCATGACGTACTGTGGCAAGATAACTGTCAGTCGCTTGTACACTGCCAGTACTATAGTGTACTATTTCTAGAAAATATTATGTTTTATAGTTTGAAATTCTTCTCATTGTTGGATGATATGGATGCAATGATAAGGAAGCTTTGTTTATTTATTCTTGATGTTATAATGGCTCTATGTTCAATAAAATGAGGAATTCTGCCGTATTTTAGTCGGAAAGAATATATATACAGTAGAAACATGGGTAGAATAAGATATAGTTTGTATGATGGATGTTGCATTATGACACCATATCTATTTAATTTGAATATAAATCACACACCACACTCAGATGATGCAATTATGCTCAAATGTTGAATTTGTGAATCTGTATTTGTTTTAAAAAAAATTAATGTTCTTCAAACTTTTCTATTGTGTTCCGAATGTAATACTTAATTGATAAAAGGCAATAGATTTATAACTTAATATTTATGCATTTATAAGGTAATGTATTGGATGGCCTTCAGCTCTGGATTTTTAATGTATACACTTTTACTTCAGAATAATTTAATCACTGATTATGATATAGTTCAAACATTTGAAGTTCTGATGTAATCAAGGCAAGCTTGAGTGAAATTATCCTTGCTTTTCTGTATAATGTGCTGCAATTATTGCAACAATTATTTATTTATTATTATTATACGGACGAGTCCATTATTTACAAAAATAATACTACAAAAAAATTATATGTAGCAACATAATTAACAGAAACATTGTAAAGAAAAACATTTCAATAATAACATATGAAAATATGTCTGGTACAACAGTAGCCTTCTCATGCAAATTTCAAGATTTTGTTGCTCGCTAGTGATAAAAAAGCAGATTTATCCGTTTCACATATATCAATATTAAAACTGTTGACTGATTTGCAACATTGATTTATAACATTATTTGCTGTGTAAGAATGATGGTAAAATCTAATATCAAAAATATCTTTGGTTCTAGAATTAAATTTCGGTGTTTTGTACACTATCTAGTTTTGCAAGATTTTGCAATCAACCTCACCCAGTATCAGCTTTCTTAAAAATAACGAGTTGTTTAAGTCTCTCTGAGAACTCAGTTGAAGGAATGTGCAATTGCTGAGCCAAGTTAATATATTCATGTTTTATATACGGATCTTCCAGTCCCCATACCTTAGGTTGACATTCTGAAAAGTTTGGTTGGACTGGGTATAGACACTCTGTCAAATGCTTTGCTAAAATATGTATATATACAATCAACTTAAAGTTTATGTTCCATAGCTTCAAGTATATAACAAGAGTAATAGGTCAAATTAGCTTCTATATTTCTCCCAGGCATAAAACCAAATTGTCTATCCGAAAGATGTGGATAAATAACAACTTCGATTTTATCCATAATCAAGGATTCAAAAAGTTTTGGGATAACACTCAGAATGGAAATCGGTCTGTAATTCTCGATGTCATTTCTGTCACCAGACTTACAGATAGGCAGTATGAATGAAGACTTTTATTCGCTCGGAAAGGTGCCCTCTGTCAAAGACTTTCCAAATAACACTCCAAAAATTTGTGCGAAAATGAATTTACTTCAGTAGTACAGAGAGAATGCCATCTGGACCTGCTGAGCTCTTTGTTTCCAACTTTTCAATTCTTCACACTGTGTCAGCTTTACCAATTTTCAAACGACACAGCGCCAAAAGAGACTGGGATTTCAACTGGTCCATCATCAATAGTGACATTAGAATGAAAAATATCTTGAAAGCCCATCCACAATAGATTAGTTAATATTTATTCCTAAAAAAATTCTTTAGATCCCTTATTTAAGGACAATTAGAAATGTTACTATAAATGAAGAGTGAACATGTATTACTCAGTTTTATTGCGACAGCATTCTACACATTTTTATCTAATCTCAAATACCGTGTCTATAATTTAATATATTGTAAATATAATATATGAATATCTGGTAGTATATTCTTAAAACACATTGTTGAAGTTAAAGAGATTTAGTGAAGAATGACAGAGCAAAGCTCTTCAAGATCTGTACATCATTCTGGTATAGTCAAGCAAAGTATGAACGTTATATTCAATCTCAGATAAGATAATCTCAAAAAAGAAATTATATTTTGGAATAATTAAAATACATTAAAAATCCAAATTATCAATTTAGAAAATCTATAGCATTAGTGAGTTTACGACAGTTAATGAGATGTTGATTCCTTTTTGAGGTAGGTGTAGTTTTGTGCAATATTTGCCAAATTAATCATCAAAATACAGAATATAAGTGTTTGTGCTTGAAAACAAACATTTT